TGTGAGGGACAGGGGCGGCCGCTCCGGGGGGCAGCTGCTCCCACTCCGTAAATGAATACAGCTTTTAATTCAACGCTCCACCCTCCGCCCCGCACCACAACGCGCCCTCCGGGAGCAGAGCATCCGCCTCCGAGCTCATCCCCCGAGCCTCAGAAAGAGGAAAGCTGAGCTGCAAGCGTACGACGCTGCCCTTCACCTCAGCTCCTCAGGGAGGCAAGAAATGGGCGCAACCGAAGCGTGGGTACTCGGTGCAGGAACCGGCCCAGTTTTCATCAGCACAGCACCATCCGTGAGGCACTCCCTTGCCCTCCTTCGCAGGAAGCGACGGAGGAATAGAAAAGAACCACGCCGCACATCTGCTATAAGTTTTATTTACACAGGAGCTGTTACCTAGTGGTCTTAAAGGAAGGCTTGATCCTTCTATTTACAGTTATATACAGATTTATAGCTGAAAAGTAAGAAAACTGTACAAGATAACACAAAAATATAAGACAAATTGGATCCAATTTAAGTAGTGAATACATAAGTTAAGAAAAATCTGACATTTAAATTTCAAATTGTAATGTTATGAGTAGTATATATGTCATTTTTAAACCAGATAGCAACGTAAGTTACACCACACTAAATCTTTACCCCAATTATGTAGACTCTGCTTTTAAACACCAGACAACTGGAAGCCTCCTGCACTTAAAAATACATAATGGTAATTTTGACTTGATTTCCACAGAGGGACCAGTTACAAAAACCCACATGTAAGGAATTTATTTACATTAAATATTAGCAAAAATGGACCAAGAGAGTGCAAGTGTTCCTCACCTGCAGTGCTATCCATTTTAAACTTCCATCCCCTACAATCACAAGTTGTTGTACAGCATCTTCGAGAATAGGAAATGGTTGAAAATATCTGCCGTGACACATACAGTATGACCCTATGTCTCACAGTTAAAAGATGTTAAAGAATTAAGTATCACTAAAACCAGATACTTTTTGGATTTCAGTATTGCACACTAATAAAAGGTAGTTTCAAAAACGATTCCATGTCTGCATTATTCTGAAGTGTTAAAAGCGGCTGCTCCTTTGACGACGCAAAGTTTGCAGATAGCTTTGTCAGTTTTTAGTGTTCACCGTTACATACAAGTATTTCTTAGTTGGAAATGGCTCAACAAAACAAAACTTCTGGTGGCAAAACCCTTTCACAGAATACCCACTCCATTTTTAATAAGCTGCACAACCAATACACCAAAACAAATGCTTAACGCCACTTGCTTTGAAAGCTCTACACTCTGAAAATAATAGCCCTGATCTTAACCACTGTTTAAAATTCAGATTATTTTTGCTCTAACAGGTTTGGGCACAATACTTCCACAGTTCCTGAGTTAATCACATTTGCCCAGACTGAAGAATGAAGCTGCAACTCAAAAAACCCCAAGTAAATAAGACAATACCCCTTCCCAAATTTTAACCATCTTGCACATAAACATACCAAACAACCTTATTTGGTCCTCAATACTTTCAAATGGTTAATTTTGGAGGTAATATTTGTACCAAAGCATTTGGTTTGGATAGCAGTTTTGGGGCCTTAAGATTTAGCATTTCCCTCATCCCCCCCAAAAAGTGCCTTTGTGGTATTTGTAAAAAAAGTTATGCCTCAAAATTTTTTTAAAGTACCAACAGAAGTTATTACAAATGTTTATTGCATTGAGCTGATTCGTTTGAAGTATTAAATATGAACTCCCCCGCTTCTCAGTTTTATAGGTTTTAGTATTCTGTGTGAAAACAAATCTTCCCATGACAAAAAGCTAATACTGGCAAAAAGGGTGAAGATTTCATCAGTTCATTACTCCACTGAGAGCTGTGACGGTTTTCCATCTCATTTTCACATTTGCTATAGTGCTTCTCCACATAGAAGTGATGTGAAAACTTCTTTGTCATCAAGTGGTTTTCCATTTTCAATTGACCTCAACATTACAACGATTAGCTTTTCAGTGCTGGGCTATGGTTCTTGTCCCCTTCTTTGTTGTCCTTCATCAGTGAGGCAAACACCTGGAAAAGTAAATTATTTAATGAATATAAAAAAGCCAGTCTTCTAAAAAAGATCAGTATTAACCACCACAATATTAGCATGGAGATTAATTTCTAGAATGAGACACAAGAAAGGAAGCGCCCATTGCTCAGAAGTCAGACATGCAGCGTAAAGTAGTCATTAAGTGCCCCATATACTCATGTGCTGACATGTCTGTTTTGAGATACTATATATATATATATATATACACACACACACACACCTCTCCAAGAAACTCACCTGTGCCCATTTTTTGTTACTATTCTGCATCTGAATAGCTGCAATACAGCTAAAAAGCTTTTCTGATGTAATGTCTTCTGGAAGCTTTGTTAGAAACTGTGCTATATGAATAAAGTCCATCTGTAGGAGAATATCTTCATATAACCGAAGGATTCCTAACCCTGTCCTGAACAAAAATTCTTCTCCATCTCTACAGAAAACGTCCCAGACACGACAGGCCAGATCAAGTGGTAATGACTTGCTGTAGAGTGTAAAAATCCTACAATTGAGGAAAAAAAAGGCACAGTTATAACTTTAACCTATTACAGAAAGACGAAAATACAACCTCCTTTAAATCTCAGTTACATTAGCTGAGAGTGAGCAGATGACAAATTATTTCATGTGTTCTTATTTTTTCTGTATTTCAAAGATCCACAGGTCTCCAGTTTTTAAAGTCAGAACTACTCTAAAACCCATCTCTTTTCGTGCTACAGGAAATCCTCCATTTGAAAGCCACCTCCTTTATGAAGCTCTGGCTAGAGAAGTTACAAACATCTTTACACTCAGCGTATAATACAAATAAGAACGTAACCCTTCTCTCCCATTCTTTAAGCCATACAGTTTAACAGCTCTGTTCATCATTTGTTTTCTAAACTAAATCTAAAGCCACAAGTTATCTCAATAGAAGGCTATATCCCACTAATGTACTAATGAGATTTCAATAACTACACTGCTGTGATACCCTTTCAATTTCTATTCATGTTAAAAATCGCCAAAATCTAAAGACAGTCGCTGTTCTATTCTTATTGGGAAGACTCCACTTGCATTTCTTATTGCAAAGTTTATTTTTACAAAGCATTCATTATACATGGGCAGAGAGTTCAGTCTGCTGTATGTACCATATTGTAGAACCCCTCCCATAAATTTGTAGTGGTTCCTTTGATACAAAGCACAGTGTTCTCTGTTTCCCCATTATTCCTATCGGGAAGTGCTTCACGAACACTCCTTCCTGCAGACTACCACAACCTCTTCTACTCTCCCTTTATAAGAGGAGCTCTCTACTGAAGGCTATCCTTGGAACATGTGCAGGAATTAACAATCTTCATTTCTCACAGGTAATTGGAAGCAGAATATTCTAGTACTTTGTACAGCAGCACTATTTCCGCAACATATATACCTCTCCTAAACTCTAAGGACTGCAGCACGCTCCTGACTCAATGCTGCTATTGTATGACCTGCTCCTGCTGAGACTTACGGCTTACTGATAAGCTGCATCTTATAGCTGAAGTTCTTCATTCCCAAGTACTCAGATGACATGACATTTTTATATTATTTAATTCTACCCAATTCAATTTACTCTATTAGAAACTTCTAACCATATAATAATCCTATATGAAGCACATGCCTATCCACACACACTTACGAACAGACATTCTGTATTGGGCAGCACTATACACACTTCAAGGGCACTTGCATTACTGCCTTCCATTACAAGAACATAACGTAGTTTGGTAGTTTCTGCTTTAGAACATTCATTACTTCAAAATGTTCACTCTATTTCCAAGTTCATCCCTTCCCAAACCAGGTCCTAAATTTCATCCTCCTTCTGCTTTGAAGGCTATATTCCTGTATTTCTTCTGTAGCTGATTACGTTCATTCCATCAAGTCTCTTAAAATCAGTCATAATACAACTACGGTGTAGTAGCCTCCTCTCCCCTATTTATGTTATGTTACACATAGCTGACTCTTACCTGCAGCAACAAGAAAACTATTTCTATGTGAATAGATGTCACTCTGAATCCCAGTTCATAAAATTTGAATCCTGCCAGAGGAACTGTGATTGCACAAAGCAGTTTGCCACGATTTCACAAGACCTAGGAAGCTGATGTACACAAACACCTACTGAATACTTTTTTTAATCTTGTATTTCTATTGCTGAAAAACCTACAGCAAAATGGAAAGTGTTCCAACAGTTGTAAGGTCAGGTTTGCTATGTTCTCTGAACTCACCAGTCTATCAAATATATGTCTGGAGTGAGACTGTATGATTTGAAATGAAGAAACAATTTGGGAAGATTTTCTTCAAAGAATACTTCAAAGGCTGCAAAGTATTTCAGCATCTGTAGAGATAGCAGAACACCTCATAAGCAGTCATCAAAAGAATGTTTAGTTGTAAAATAACACAAACCCCACCAAGCATTGAGGATGTCAACATAGCACAATGTGACTTCTTAGGATAAGTACAATGATTAAGTGTTTCTAGAGGAAAAATCAAAACAGTAGGATGTGTTCTATGGATTAGTATCTAGTATTCTCAGTTTTGTAACCAGAGGTTAAAGTTTTCCATTAATCAACAGGACAAAAGGAAGTCATCAATAAAATCAGCTACACTTCGAGTCAAAAGAATGTTATGGTTCAAAACCAGAAAACTGTGCATACCATGCTGTGATCCACACGGAAAAAGGCCAGCTGGCATGGCTTGTTTAGAAGGTTAGCAAAGGCAATGAAAGCATCTGCCTCCTCCAGATTGAGAATGAGCACAGCAGCAATGAAGGACATCCCTTGTACCTTCAAGTGGGAAAAGCATCGGGCAAATATAGGTGAGTAGGTTCAGTACATCTTATATCTTTGGAAATGCAAATATTTACAGTCTGCAATATATCAAATACCATTGCATAACATTTCCAGATGAACAGAAACAACATGGATAAATAATTTTTATGCATGCAGTCAATTTGATTTCAGCAGGACACACAATCTTTCTTCAGACGCCGGTTTTAGGTGCTTGGTGGAAATTCTGGGAGGTCTCATGATCACCAGACCTTGGGACTTGGAATGCAAGAAAGTTAAAACCACACAGGCTGGACGCAGAGCTCATAAGAGACAAAATTTGGCCTTAAGTTCATTGTTAAGCTATGGGAAAAGCAGACATGGAGGAAAAACCTCACATATGGGACAGTTTAGACCCAGTCAGATATGTTGGAATTGAGACAAAATTCCATTACAGAACAGTCAATACGTATCTTTCCACTTGCCAGACAGTATTTTTTCACATACATAAAATTACTTTTAAGTGGTTAGCAACAATGCGAGTTTATATTTTTCCATGATTACTCTCTCAAAAACACTTTAGTCTGCAATAAAAGTGAAAAGCATTATTCTTGTAGTTGTTAACTGATGATCTGAATACTCATTATTACAAAAAATACTGAATACTCATATTATAAAAAAATAATTTTACCAATTTCAACTGCAAAGATGATTATTCTGCGGTTTCTAGGCATTTATGCTGCCTCCTCCTCATTTAAAAAAATGCACTCAGTATTTTAACCAACTAGGGAAAAAAAGTATTGATATGCATCAAAACCAGTCCCGCAGCTTTCCATTTTTGTGGGACAGATGGGTGTGGAAATAAGATTACATTAAATTTACTGCCATATTAACATTTAAAAAAAAAAAAAAATCTCTGATCAGCAATATCCAGGCTAGCTGTGTTCCTAACGAAAAAGAGAAGACCTAACCATGAAAAATTACTTATTTGCCTTTTAAAACTCCACCCTGGGAACAAGCAGTCTCAGAACCTGCAGAGTTTGTAATCTCACTCAAAGAGTATGGGAGGGTCTCCAAAAATGAGGTCACAGATGACAGAGTTCAGGGCTAAAAACATTTGAACGTGAAAAAACCAACTAGATATTGATGCAGAGTCCCAAACATGTCTGATTTAGAGAGGAAAACACACCCTGCCCTATATAATGCTTTGTTGCATGGATTAGACTTAAAACTCTTCAAGTGCTTTTTAGCCCAGAAGCGATTAGAACTTGTGAAAGGTGTTCCTAGCTACCGCCAGGAACAAAGAAAAAGAAGAAAAAAGCATCCGTTTGTTATTTAACTGCTTCTCTAAGCTGACATCATTCAGAGAGATGTTAGGTTTAGCTGGTTTGTTTGCGGGTTTTTTGGCAGTTTTTTATGGGGGTTTGGATTTTTTTTTTTTTTTTTTTTTAAAAACACAGTAATGTTTGCTGCAAACAATCTTATCTTCACTGAACTCAGATGGAGCAATTAATCTTTGACATCAAGACACGAATAAGGAGTTTCTGGACTTTAGGACGTGCAGTAGTGAAACAGAGTATCACTATGGAAATGGCAGCAGTAGGGGCAACACTAGGACAGAACAGACCCACTGGAAGTCCGCTAGCGTTTTGTTTTTTTCTGTAGATACCATGGGTCTGTCAAAACTGTAATGCCTTGTGAACACATCCATTTAAATTTTTCCATGCAAGCCAGATAGTATACTCATCCTTGACATTCAGTACATTTTTAGCTATTTATCTCTAAGAATTACCATATTGTAACTGCTATGAAATGAATAAGTGCTAAAGTTGAATTAATTTTTTTTTAAGTGCTAGTAGCATGAAGTTTAGATAACCTGCTTATTTAATACACTCTAATAGATGACATCTTAAGCTTATTCGCCATGTTATAAACATTTTACAGCAAATACTTACATATCCCACATCCGGTCTGTAACATGTATATGCTCCTAAAACACTATGCAGGAGATCATGATAAGGACCACCCTTAATACAAGGGCAGGGAAGAGGGGAAAAGAAAAAAAAAAAAAGTTTTTTTTTTTCAAAATCACTTTATACACACAGAAACGTAACAAGCCAGTATTTTAAGATGCAAGTGAGCCAGTGAATTATTCCTTTGTTCACATCTAGAATAATACCAGTTTTTACTCTAAGCATTACCATGTATGCTTTTGAGATGTTAAAGGAAAAGTAACAGATCAATAATCCTATGAAAGAATTCAGTGGAAATCAGTACATAAGGGAAAATGAAGATATCTGGTACACATCCAGGGTTGGTTTTTCCTTTTCAGAGACAGTGGATGTTTTAATTCTTAGTAACACAAGTTACTGTATTACAGTAGTGCATGCTATTTTATATACATGTGTATGCATATGTTGTATCTATATAAAAATCATAAAGCCTGAAAACGTGTACTAAAACACATCAAGACTTCTGCAGAAGCAGTGAGAATATTCTCATTTTTGTATGTAATTTCATAAACAATAATAGAAACCACATGCAATTTTTCCAGGAGAAAAAGCCTTACAGCCCATCATTAAGTGTCCCTACTTTATTCTGATTTTAAAAAAGAAAAAAAAAAAAAAAAAAAAAAAGAAGATGACTCTACTGTTGTATGTAGCAAAGAACTAATTTTACTTTTGTTGTTTGAGACAAACAACTTCCAAAAACTCTTCCATATTCAGCCAGCTAGGTTTCTTTTCTTAACTATTCAGAAGTTTAAAGTTGTCATAACTAAAGTTACAGAAATCTCACCTTCTGGAAAATATACAGGGATGGAAATGTGCGTGATATATCCAACTTAATTAGCTCCAGACTGGCCTCACGATCAGCAACAGATGCACCTGCATCTGCAACCAAAGCCAACACTTATTAAAGCTGATAGATAAATTCTACAGACTTCAGAATAAAACTGCCATAGGCACATAAAGACTTTTAGGATCTAAGGAAGAAAAGTTACCTCGTTCTAATTCTTGGAGCGCGCTTCTACAGTGCTATACTTCAAGAGCTAAAACTGCCCATTGATACCTGATATATGCCATCAACTCCAAAAAGTGAGGGAAACGATCAGTAATTATTACCTGTCTACTCATTCTTTTTCAAGTCATACACCTTTACACCATTAAAACTTAAAACTAACAGGTTACCTTTTACTTCTGTAAAACACTCTGGCTAGGCCCAGACTGGCCCTGCATTCACTAGAATTTGAACTTTGCCCAGCCCAGTCCTCAAAACCCTGTTTTCTTTCTTATCTTCTACTGTGACTTCAGTTACCGAGCCTGTGCAAGAGCACAGAGTGAGATCCAGTGATCCAGTGGGATCTCATTTGTCAAATTTTTCATTCCTAATGTGCTCATTTGGTAGCTCATTTCAACCAGCAGCATTGAAATATACTCTGTACACTAAAAGAAAAAGATGAATTACATCATTAACACAACAAGCCAGCACTTCTTCACTGGCAAAGTCAAGCATGTTACTTTTGAAGTCATGCTTTTCTCATGTCCCATTTTTACTGAAGGTGACTAAAATATACAGAGACACTCCACTGAAGTTTCTAGAATTGACCGCACAGTTATGATCTGCAGAAGTTACATTACTTCTGAGCCTCATTAGCTCTCATTTGACTCGGATTTTTTTTTGCATCCTTAGGAGTGGCATTCCTCAAATGGCAGGAAAAAAAGCAGCATTCACTCAAGAACCTCCAGAAGAAATTCAGCTGGCCCTTGAGTTCTCTCTACCCTGTCCTCTAGGAGAAAAATACACATGGCACTTGGGGAAAAGGCTCTTTCAGCGGGCTTAAACCAGTCAAGAGCCTTCTGGGAAGTGGAAAATTGCAGAATTTGACAAACAGGCTAAACACAACCTGATCTGCTGAAGCATCTCTGAAAGCAGCATTTTCTTCCAGCCCTCCTAAAACTAAGATAGTTGCATTCAGGAGTGAGTGGGACTGCTGCAGGCTGTGTTAAGGGAATTTAGGAGAAAGAAGGCAGTTACAGAGAAAGAACATGCACGATCTAAAATAAAAATTTCAACAACTGTTGCTTAATCCCTCCTTTCTCTCTCAAAAGGAACTGGTATTGGTTAATTTGGGATAATTTCATTTGCGACAGTATCCATTTAGAGTATTCCCAAGGAAGATTATAATCTACGGTATAAGAAACTATGGATTTATACAAGAAATTCGGTTCAACTCCAAAAGAGGAGTCACTGGGGGTCTTTTGAACAGATGTGACAGATACATCTTTTGATGAATGTCTTGTCTTCAAGACACAAAAAGATACTCTTCATGCTTTAATCTTTATCTGCCAAAATAAAGTGTTAAAGATATTTGAACAGGAAAAACCTTCAGAACTACTCGAATGTTAAATGAGGCTAAAATAATGGATCTTCCAGGCTTTGCTACCAAAGAATAGTAATAAGCACAGTGGGCTGGCTTGGTTGCTTTTGAACCAGAGATGAAAATCCTGTTACTCTAAGTTCTCCCTTATTACTACATTTCCCAGAACATCTGACACAATCAAACTGGACCCTTCCCCCTTTCGTTCCCAACCAGAACTACTACCTGTCCAAAATAAACAAATTACCTAAGCCTTCCCCAAACTGAGCCCACACCCTCACAACAAAAGAACAAACCAACCACCCCCCCACAAACCAAGGGGCATTGCAAACATGTTTTCCAGGGATAAGCATATTTGCAGTCCCGTACACACACATTTTTTTTTATACAAGTTTCAGATGAGTCGCAGAGGTAGCCTAAAGCAGACCCGAATAATTTACAGTCAAAGTAGCCAATTAGTCAGGATAGGCTATGGCAAGTGCAAACAAAAAAAGTACTTCTTGCATTACAATGGCATTTTCTTTCCCAAAAAAGAGACCAATTCAAAAAAATAGTTATTTCACAGCAGCTGGTACTGACAGTATCACATAAGACAGCATTTAAAAAAGTAACTGTTAACAGCACACGGAGTTAATAACAAGAATATATCCACCATTAAAAACATAATTGATGCTATTTTTAACAGGGAGAATAGCCACAGGAGACAGCAATGTGATAAAACTCCACTATACATACAAGTGTGCTAACATCCCCACTTCATAGATTAGGGAGGAAAGGCCATCCGGGCAACCAAGGAAACCCAAGTGGGATCCAAAATGTGTAATATGTTACATATTCTTCACCTTTCAGTTCCACAATCAAAAGACAGAGAATAATATTCTTCTTTCCCAAAGTTGTGGAAGGGATACCAACATAAGAACCATCTAAGCAGAGCTAAGCAACAGCACATACTGTAATTTAGTTTCCCATTTCTTCTTTTTGTATTTCACCTAAAATTTTCATGAGAGCTTAGTCCTGGTATTTCAGGAATTCAGAGGAAAACACATTCATTTGAAAGTGAACTAGCACATGCAATACACGGCTTTTACTGGTATAGTAAATACTGTTAAGCCCCTCACTGACTTGTTATAAGAAAGCAAACATTTAAGTAGGGAATGACTCAGAGCACTTTTAACAAGTATTCCTAATATTGCAATTGCAGCTGAACTTGTGAGACTTTCTGGGTTTGTAAAGGAGAATAGGAGGCTGTCTAGCATTCGGGAGATCTCACCTTCTATGTCATTCTCAGAACTTGTCTCACTGAAGCTTTTCCATCGTTCCTTAGCTCTCGACAAGAAGATTTCATAAAGTTCTGCAAGGAAACAAAACAAAACCAACAACAAAAAAAGGAAGAGATAAGTAAGAAAAGTACCCATCCAAAACAAAAGCACACTAAGTATTCCTGGCTTTGGTTTTGTTTCTTGGTTTCATTGTAACCACTGGGGGCGGGGGCAGAATCTACCAGATGGTTACCACTAACCACCGGAGTACCACTATACACAGTTTTATGGTGTGCACTGTATTATGCTTTCTTCTGCGGTGAATGTGCAAATTACGAGAGGGAAATCATGTCTTAAATAATTCAGATTTTTATTTTTGTGAATGAGTTACAACACTTCCGAGGTCATCAAAATCATTAGTTATGAAATAAAGCAATTCCCCTTCCCACCCCCTTAAAAAAGCAAAGCTACAAATTCTCAATTTTAAACAGAAAAATAATTTTTTGGGGGCGAGCGCAACCTTAACTCTTATAAGACTAAAATGTTTTTGTAAGCAGTTTTTCAGCCTTGTTTCCATAATTTACCAGGCTATGATGTCTAATTGTAAAAAAATACCTATTCCTAAGGTGGTGAAATACAGTTTTTCAAAAAGCAAATATTTTTTTAACAAAAGTTTAAAATTTTCTTTGAAAATAACCAAGTTAATTTGACATTAAAACGTGATCTGTTAAGGCATACCAGGAGTGATATTTAATTCGTTTCCCACAGCTAGACTCCAAACCTTCCCACGTACACTTGGGGGTAATCCCTGCCACCACAGCTCTCGAACCCTTCGCGTAGCACGCCTAGGATAGGGAAGCAAGAAGAAAAAAAAAAAAACAACCAAAAAAACCAACAAAACCAAAAGGCATATATTGCACATCTTGTCTTCTAAAATCATTGGGTAACTTACAAGCAAAATAACATACTATTTCCCAAATCAATATTCAAGGATCTCTGCTTATGCTAAAGCCCCATTAAAAAAAAAAAACCAAAACATTAAGCTCCCAGAACACACATTTCATGTTGCTCTGTAATGACCTTTCACTATATCATGGCAACAACAACTGACTTCTTGACAAAACAGAAAGGAAAAGGAAAATAAAGTATGTGGTTCGTCTGTTTCCAGAGGAGAAACAAGCCAGCCTTGCCTCATTTACACAACAGAACTTTACTTACATGCCTTCCCAGTTAGGTAGTATTTCATTGACCCAAATCACCATAGCACTAGCAATATTCTCTTCTTGCTTGAAACGGTCTCTCATTATTTTTTTCCTTTTATGTGCTTCTTTAATTTCTGTTAGAAATAACATGTTAATAATTTTGTATTAGTGTATATAAATTATTAGGTAAATAATTCAGCTATTATCTAATTATTTAGATGACTAAAAGATACCAGGGGTAAATTACAGTTGCGCATGAGCTAGCTGGTACTATTTCTGTTGATTGTAGGTGTATTTCTCAGGAAATTTTTTAATTTAAGCTGTCTTTAAGTTACTCAAATACACAGTGATTTAGACAAGCAAAAATCTGGCTAGAAAACTCGTAGCACTCTTCTGCAGTACACAGAATAACTAAAAAGCAAGCACATCATCAGCACTGTTTTTCTTGTAATGAATTTCACACCACATTCTATCTAAACCTTACTTATTATTTAGACTAATCAGCAATAATTATAGATAAAATTTTATTCAAAAGTGCAATTCTGCATCCATTTTAAAATTATTCAAATTTTACTGAAACTTCCACCTAGAAGGATTATGTATTTCCTTTTCTGGAAAGAGGACCACAATGCTGAACAAGAGAAGAATATTCTGCCTTCTGTTAAAAAAGGATTATTTGTAGATCCCTATTAGTAAAAAGGCTAAAAGAAGGACAGAACAATGCTATCTTGACACCACTAAGAACCACTGTGAAATTGCAAGACATTTTTATTTATGCATGCATTAGACACACCAACAGACTAAACATGCCATCCCTGATAAACTGATATGGCTGACCACCTTCATTAAGTTTTTACTGAAGCTTTGTGCGTGTAGCAATAGTTAATTTAATGAATACTAGGGCACACATACTAAAACACCACACATGGCTGACCCTCCAAAGATGCAGTTAGAGAACACGGACCACAAATCAGACCTTACAAGATGCACACCACAAGAACAGTGAAATGAGTTGTCCAATGCCTTGGATTTCTTATCACATCTTTCAGAGTAAGCTGCCACAGATCCATAGAGGCTCAATCAGTTCAGAAGCTTATATCTCTGACAACAGCCCAAATAAAACATGCAGCACAGATTCTTAAAATAGCTTATTCCCTGAATACTAAGCACGAGACTACATAAGTCCTTTCAACAATTATTCATAGATTGACACAGTACCAGATGCTACAGATATGTTTAATTTAAAAAACAGATCTAGTGGGAGTAGGAAGATTCGCACAGGTACAGCTGGTTGGAAAAACCCCAAAGCTCTCATCTGTCTTCACACTGGAATTGTTCTCAAATCCCTGAAAAAACAGATCTTTAAGCAGTCAGCTTTATTATACTTTGGCTCTCAGTGGCAACTGCAGCAACACAGCTTGAAAAAAAGAGAGTCCAACTACCCAGAAAGTCTCTAGCTGATCACATTACACAAGTAGTTTAAAAAAAAAAAAAAATCATCAAGTTGCTACTTGAAAATTAAAGAAAAGGTTAAACAGACTTTCTGAACATAGTTACATTCACTGTGGTGGAATAAGAGAATGATTTGATAATTGAATTCTGTTTTAAACTGTGTGCACATATGTACCAGAGAATAACCTAGGTATTACGCAAGGTTGTTCTTTACTGCACCTACTAGCCTACAAGCCAAAAATTACTTTATTTTTGCTGCACAGTTAAAAAGAATTATAGTGATTATTGGCAGTTAACATACCTCGTTTTTTTGCCTCTGCCACCATCTCATCATATTCTTGTCGGTGACGTAAAGCCTCCTCCACTGATTTGGCAGGAAGATTTCTGAAAACAAGTTGTTCCTGAATTCAATACACACAAATGACTTTCTGAACCATTTCAAAACAGGTTTTAATTTGGCTTCTCTCTAAGGTGAGCTTTGGGGTTGTCACACTACCAGTGTTTCAGTAACAGCAGTAGAGAACTACCAGATGTTTACTGCTTCTCCTATAGCTTCCCCCAAAGCAGGGTTATTAGATCTGCTGAACATCTGGAATGATGCTCAAATGAAGTTTGCATGAAATGACAAAAGGGAAATATTGATATTCCATATAGTTATTTATTCCAATGCATTTCTGCACATGCATATTTTAATCATGAAATATACCTGCATATCAATACTCCATTTGTTCATATGAAATCTATGATGACATATTTTCAATAAAAGGTAAAGGGTTTTATTCATTATATTTAGCCCTTTAAAACTCCCACAAAAGATGACACGTTTACCAAAGGAAGAAAGGATAGATCCCCATTCATGTCAGAGCTAAAGCTAAAGAAGCTTGCTGCAGTGCTATAAGTTCACCAGCTTAAAATATGTTTGGTTTTTGGCTGCATAGTGATCCCCTAATTGCCAAACACACACTTCCTTTCGACCAAGCAGACTCATTCCAAAACAAATCAGAACACAATGTTTGGTTTCAGTCTCTCACCCAATCTCTAGTCTACTTTGGTTCAAAATAAACAGAAGACAGTTTTGTCATGTTAATATTAAAAAAAAAAAAAAAAAAAAAAAAAGGTTTTCCATCTCCTCTTATTAATAAAGTCATCTTTTATGCTTGTATATTTCCAATGAAAGTCAGAGCTGAATATATCTTCAAGGATGAGATTATAGCAACACATTATACACTTGGGATGGCACTCCAATTTGAAGCAAGTGGAAACGTCATTTGTAAAACCATGCTTATGTTAGTTTGTGAATTGTGATATTTTGAAAGTACAGAAAAGCATCAGCAAACCAGTTACTGCATATCTTACTCTCCACCACACAGTAAAAGAAATAATGCATTTACAAAAAAATAATGATAGCAATCCATACCTCCATTCAGGATATTTCTGTCTTAGCACTGAATGAGCTTATATACCACTAGAGAGAATATTGAAGGAAACACTGTATGTTCTATTTTCCATTTCCTAATTGGAACTGATTAGAGCAAACATTTAACAGTGCCATCACAAGCTTTCTCAAGGTGCAATTTGAAAGCTTTGCTCCATTAGCTTTCCTCACAGCATGTGTTCCTAGTCAGCAGGCCCTCCTCTTTCCTTCATATTGCTGAAGACTGTAGAGCTGAAAATACCGATTTATTGCCCATTTTTCATTACTATTCTTATTTGTACTTAATGCAGTTTTTGTTGCATCTTTAACTGCTGTTTCCTTGCCTTCAGCTGTAGTTTTACGGAGCCATGAAAACATAACTGGAACAAGGGCAAGGAACAGTATCAGTGAACACTATCATCTTGGTACCAACAAAGCATTTAACTGTAGTTGCCAGATACAAAATGAGCATTCAGCATTTGTGACAGGACGGTATTTCTTGTGTTTCAAAGGCAATTCTTCCCACTCCTGCTGTTACCTACCTAATACTTTTTCTTTTTTTCTAAAAAGACTCTTCTCATAAGCCAAACCCAGGTTTGCTGAAGTAACAACTGCCACTGTTAAGTCTTCCCAACTGGTCTAGGAAATTAAGTTTCCAGAATTGGGGAAGAAGAAGGGAGTGCACACTGAGATGGCAGGGAAGAAATCCATAAAAGTCTTCAGGAATTTTCCTGATTAAGGATCCCCACGACACTGCCACAGGCAGCTGTGATATGCAGTAGAGAACAGACTGGTGGCCCCATTACAGTGAGAAAGAATTCCTCATATAGACTATAATATACTTACAAGGTTCTTCTGGAGGTACTTGCTAGGCTATTATCTGGGATGGAATAATCCAATGATACTTTCGTGTAAGACTTGTGAAATTTAGCTCATCAGAAGTATACCTAACAAACTCAGTCATCGTTAGTTCCACAGCAGCATCATACTTACGCCGGTCGATCCTCCAGAATCAAAGCAGTAGTTGAAAGGGGTTCAAATTCAATATTTTTACGTCTTGCTGATGGGGGTGGAGGTTTATACATTCTTCCTGTCCGTGCTTCATATTCCTAAACAACATTATTGATAAAAATTAAATTTCAACTTTCAGCCTCACTTCTAATATTACTTGTTTAACACTTATTAACTAATGTTAAAATATATCATATTAAATAATTTACGACAGCAAGGAGCTAACACTACAAGTTGAAGTTGTTTATAGTAAGACAGTGCAGCGTTCCAGGTCTGCTAAGTAAAGATGAATGAGAAAGTAGGTTCTTGTATCAACTTAATCTTTGATCTATTCTAGTTCAATATTGCTACTGAGCATCCAAGGATCAGTTACAGTTCAGAAATCTGCATAATCTCCCCAAACTAATTAGTGCACAAGTATATTTAAGTAATCTGTGAAGCTGACAAAGAAACAAACAAAAACCACTAACCAAGAACTTGTGTGTCTTCCCATTTCTTTCCTTTCGATTCTAGCCACCCTTAAGATCCGGTACCCTTCGCATTTCTGAAGCATTTCGCAAGACCATCAGCCCCACATTATCTAGAATTACCTCCACTATACTCAGTAACAATATAACAGTACTTATCATTACAAGTCTGTTTCACATCATTTCTTTCTCAGAGGTTAAAACATGCAATCTACTTAGAAATATTTAAGAGCCTTTAATACGCACAAGATTCTGAGGAAGAACGAACACCATTCCTTTTTCCACAGAGCAACCCAACAAAACAGAAATATGAGAGAGTCTTTAGGAAAAAGGCCAGACAGAGCCAGATGAAAACCTCAAATCTCATGTTCCCTCTTTTTTAGCCTCTGTAAATAAAAAAATTACTGCCAAGTTACTGGGAAACCCATTCTTATGATCCAGCAAATCTTAAAAGGTTATCTGTGAGAAGACTTTCAACTTAGTCCCAAACCAAGTTAGCTTGTGGGTTCACACTCTCCTTAGGCACGAAGGCTAAATACTAGTTTCTCTGCAAGTCTTCCACATGCTGGAATTCAAACACAGAATACTAAGAGCTGAAAGATCATCTTTTTAAGAGAACAAATTCAAGGTACTTTAGTAATGCACTTTCACAGATCACACAGCTCTATTCCTAAGCACAGCCAAGTGACCTCTAACTTGTACAAGCTTTTTTTTTAGCTAAAGACAGTTTGTTCTTGTACACCTCTTGCTTTAATAATTGTTTAAGTAAATTCAGCCTCAGATTAACCAAAATATCTTATGTTTAAGTCACCAAAAATAAAAAATTGATCAATTACTAATTAGGTCATGTATCTTCCCAATCAAACATAACAATCTTCTCTAGAAGCTACTCCCAAATGAATCTCTCACCTAAAACACAGCTTCTTGTACACATTAGTTCTCCCAGGGAGAAACAGAGGGCTTTACACATTCAGTGTTCACTGATAACATTATAGAAACAGAGCTGACAACTTTATCATATAGCTTAAAAGTTCAGTACACAGGTGAAGTCCATAAAGTTAAATGCGAAAAGACCTCTTACAAACATGACAATGCAGCCTCAGATTTCCAGAGAAGACACAAAGTGTTTGCCCAGCGCTAAGGTCATTTAAAATGGATAGGGTAAGGAGGCTGTTGAGCAGCAAGCTTTAATGATCTCTAACAAAATTCTGTTCTTCCGCACTGGGCATAATACATTAAATGATCTGAAAAGTATAACCTCAGTGAATTCATGTTAATCTCATCTCAAGAGGACGTTATCACAGAATCACTGAGGTTGGAAGGGACCTCTGGAGATCATCTAGTCCAGCCTCCCTGCTCAAAGCAAGGTCAACTACAGCAAGTTGCACAGGGCCTTGTTCAGCCAGATTTTTAATATCATCAAGGATGGAGACTCCACTCTTGCTAGGCAGAGGCTACAGCACCCAGTATTCCCAAGTGGCTTCCCATCCAAGTACTAACCAGGCCCACCCTCTTAGCTTCAGAGATCAGAGGAGATCAGGTGTGTTCACAGTGGTAAGGCCATAGGCATTATATGCCACTGTACTTTTCAGATCCTGAGGAGTTAATCTGGACTTCTTGCCCTTTTCTTTTCCTAGTTCGTGGGAGTCAGAACAATAGTTTAACTGATGAGGAAAGGTGATTGCACCTGCACAAAACAAGCCAAAGAATGGTTCTGAAACATTCTCAGTATCTCTTGAAACAGTTTCCACACACACCCTCCCCCCCAAGGCTTCAGCTATCCTTCCAGCTATCCAGCCCTTAACCACTCTATCATACTCTGCCCCACGGCAGCATAACAAATAACTCATTTTCACACCCTGGAAAGACAAGCACAAATCTGTAGCAATCAACCTACTATTTCAACTAGAGGAGAAGCTCTGTTGCTTTTCTGTCTTCAAGAAAAGCCCAAACATGCACCTTGTAAAGAAAAAGAGCAAGAAACCATTGGCTGTCATCATTTATAGATGCGTTCACACTAAAAACCTAATGCTTTGTAAACACAATGACTTAAAAGTTACTAGCCAACTGTTCTTAAATACAACTTAGTTCTAAATATTTCTAGAGTCTCTGGCCCAGAACAGTGGTTACACAAATTTCCTAGAACATATTCCTCTCCTGAAGGGTAAGACAACTTTTGATTTAAGATAATATGCATTCAACGTCATTTGGCACATTCAAACAAGTATCTTGAACATCCGGACATACAGGATTGGTAGAGTTCTGTTGTAATTCATAGAAGCACAAGAAAAATCAGAAAACCAGCATTCACTGTATGAATGAATATACATATCCTTAAGCCTAAAATTATTTCACTCCACCAAAAACCATAGAGACATTATAGGCACTCCTGCCATGCTTTATACCTCAGGCTACCCCAGCATATTCTTAAGTTAGGAATGCATCCTGCGGTAGCACCTGGAGGCCAGCATCCAGGCTGATTTACTTTCACACTTTCCAGTACTTTGTAACAGAAGCCACGAAATCAAGTTCATTTAGTAGTCAGAGATGAGGAAGCTCAAACAATACCAACCTTTTCAACGTTCCTACATACCTAATTTGTATGCAAGTTAAATAAAAAAAGCATTGCAAGATGGACATTAGAAATGAAGCCACTCTCACCCTTTTATTACAAGCAACACATTTGACTGGTGCTAGTGCTTCTGGCTATCATACATGCTAAGAACTGATATACTATTTCCAAAGCAACAGAGAAAGAAAAAAGAAAAAAATCTTCAACTGGGATTTCCACAAAAGGCAGAACTCATCACCCAACTGCGTTTCTGGAAGTAAGTACACTTTACGAACAGTTGGGTTTTGCAAGAAAAGAACGCATGCACAGAGAGGGAAAACTGTAAGTGTTACTAGAAAGAGTCAAAGCAGAGACCAAAATAACTTCAAGCTCGAACTGTTACGGCTGCACATTCCCCAAGATGAAATACATTCCACAGTATCAGAACTTCCCAATGGAAGATGCTTCTTCCTCAAGAAGCCTGTGCTCTAGGAAAATTATTTGAAGATTAGATCCCAGAGCCATCAGACATGCGCAGAACTCACTAGTCTGTGCAACTAAAATACCCATTTTTTCTGGAATATTTTGTATGACTAGATGTAAAGAATCCAATAGCCCTAACCATGCATTTGATGCAGAATCTAAAATTCTTGGCACGGGATAAAAAGCTTGAGCTGACACAGAATTTCACTTCAAAAGATGTGAGCCATAAGAAGGTAAAAATACAATTTAAAGTCAAGTGTCTTGTCAAATGCTTAACATGCAGGGCATATGCCAGAGGACAGAACAGTTGACAACTAAGATTCAAGACTATGTAAGACCTGTTTATGCAAAAAAAAAAAAAAAAAATTTTTTTGGAAGTGTCACATGTATGGTTTCAGTAGTTTAGGGAATGTTATTAAAAATTCTTTATTGCAGCGTATCTGGTATTTATTAAAAGATATGGAACATTTCACAATCCCAAAATAGATAAAGAAAAATAAATCTCAGCTTTAATAGAAAGTAAGAATAGTTATGTCCTTATTAAGGCTGGAACTGCATCCTCTCATCTACTGCCAATAATAAACCTGTTAAGAGGCTAAAGGCTTGTTTTTCCTGAAAAACACTGTGACAATATATTTAAGAGCACTTTGATATGTGGAAGGACTTGTAGTTCCGGTATTTATTCCTACAGAAATATAGATAAACCTATTAACCTACAGACAGGTAACAAGAAATGGGGCTGGGGAAAAAAGTCTTTTGCTTATAAACTGCCTTTGTGCTTAAGAAGATAAAGCTATCCCAAATTGTAACTTCTTTACAAAAAAAAAAAAAAAAAACCACACACACAACAAATAAACCCTGGCCTTTTAAACAAAAGAAAAATAATAAACCTGCCCAAGTCTTTATTGCCTGCACCTTTTTGATATCTATGTGGAAAACATAAAAAACTGGTTTCTTTCATCCTTCCTCAGAAGAGCCACGTAGGACAGCTAGGGCATTCAGAGCTATTTTAAATATCTCTAAACAGTACTGGATTGCACTGTGTAACATACACGTAATTGCCCATAGCTGCTTCTTCCAGCATCTAAGCAAACTAACTCACAGAAAGGAAAACCAGCTGCATCGCAGCATTCCAAAAGCATTAGTTAACCCTAAGTAGGGTATGCTTGTGGGGATAAAGTATTTAACAAAGTGTGCGCATAATGATTCAATTTTAGAAGACAAACTTGCATCTACACTGCCCAAACTATAGAGCTTTGAAGGAATAAATATTAACCATAAAATTTAACATGCATCTTGCTGGGATAAGTTTTGATCTCTCTAGGATCCAACAACAAAAGTTGAACTCCTGGAAATGAGTGATCAAAACCTTGGATTACAAGGATTGTGAAAGTCCTCACAGTCCTGAAAGTACCAATTATACAGATTAAGCACCACAGAGCTTACATGTTTTATGTATGCTGGAGGAGAAAGTGGCCTGATCGGCAACACTGAATTAACTTTCACTATCTTAAGGATTGCCTCTATTTAAAGCAGATGTCAAGGCATACCAATACTCCAATTAAACAAAAAGCATACATCCTGTGTATTACAGTTTCTTTTAACATGCTTTACTCTCCCAAAATTCTAAGCCTGATACTGAAACAGGTTTTATTCAGCCAGTCATGGTTTCTGTTGAGGAAACAGGGATTGCCATATATTCTGCAAGTGGTTTTAAACCTCTCTCCCCTCTACACACACGTGGCGACTCTGTGGAGCAGATGGGCCTCTAAAAACATCTATATCATTATTTTCACAATGTTGTACAGCTAACTAGAAATATCATCAGAAAGATTATTTCCCTTCATTTCAAGCAGAGTTGATCATCCAAGAATGGAAGCATTAATAGAATCACTTAGGAAGGCACCCATCTATGTCACTGTAATAAAACTAATAGAAAATTTATGTAAGGAGAATTTCTGCTAATGCATAAGGATTCCCTCCTATGTCATCATGTGTCGTGTCTGTCCCCCCCCCCCAGGTTAAGTGTTAAAATTGCTGAGCTAGAACTGGTTACAAGGTGATTAAAAACAAAGACGTGCTTATAGCAAGAGTGGATGTCACTGAAAAATTCTGTGCGTCATAAACTAGATATTTTCCCAGGACTAAGAATGCCAGATGCTATCAGGACAGACAGAACACTACATTCTTTCCTAACTTACAGGCGATATAGAAAGAGCTTATACTGAAGAAGGGAAAAATACTAATCTTCACATAGTCAAGAGAACAACCAAACAGACACTGAAGAGTTTCTAGGTCAACCTTCCAAAGTAATGCCATCCATCTTCAGTTGTTCATTTACTTTATTTTTTCCTCAACTGGATATTTAACAAGTTGCATCAAGTTTCATCTTTTGTTGTTTACAAAAAAGCATGCAGCAAGCCAGGGGCTTCTGGGCCCAATAAAGAAGAGCTGAGAGCGGCTGGACCATGTAACATGAACTGCAGGCATCACATATCAACCAGCAGTTACATTACTGCTCTGTTTCACAAAGCCAGAGTTAACAGATCCACAGAACTAAAAAGCTAACTTATACTATTCCTGTTTAACACAGGGTGTGGGATTGCATAAAAAGTTTTCAAAGTAACAGGCATGTGCATTGGACCAATTTCAGAAGGATACCAGTCACAGGGAATAGAAGACGTAACAGCATATAACAGAAGTTTCAATAGCCACACTTTTCTAGGTTTCCAATTTCATATTGGAAATAGTGATTAAAAGCATCTGGAGTTCTGAAGTGCCACTGTTAATAGCTTATGTGACATAGTGACAGGGAAAAAAAAAAGATTCTAGGATATCAATTTTCAAAGCTAATACAAGGTGCTCAAAAATATTACAAATTAAGCCTTTTAACAACATTTACCATTAAGCAAGGAGGCACAGCAAACATAGAAAGTAAATTACTGTCAAGCTCTAGCATTACCTATTTGCTGCTATTCAAGAACATGCAATGTAAACAATAATAAACAATAATACTCTATCACTTTAAGTTGTTAGTGAGATTCATGTGTGAAGTTTATTTGTGTGCTTATTTTACTAATGGTATCTAATGAATTGATGGTTAGTGCCGTAAAATATTCATGCTACTGTGAAAATGTGATGTTTGTTCTATTTTAATGAGCGCTACATAGTCCCATGCATGGCATTGAATACAACTAGAAAGAATATATATTAAATTTCATACCCCTGTGTTTAATAGACTGAGAGCAGATATTGACGCAAGACTGCCAGAACTGTCATCCTAATGAGAAAAACAGAAGCAAAGCCTTAGTGAATAAATGAAGGAAAGACCATTACAATACAGCAACATGCAAGCCAAAATGTAAATTCACATGTAGAGTATTTATACTCTATGTTTGAAGAAACGTAGATGTGGCTGTTCTTCCTTCTTCTCCAGCCCTCAAAATATACAAAAACACATACAAATACCTCCCATTTGTGCAAGATGTGTATAGGCATCTATTGGACTATTTTTCTGTTTTAATTGAAGTTCTGTATTTTCTACAATCAGCACCTTTGCCTGAAGGGAGATTTTTTCCACGGTACTTCTCAGGTGCATGACAAAAGGCGTTCCCTGATATACTGTCTCTCCCTAGTCCACATCACCCATAAAAGTTACATTTATTTAAACATTAGCCTTGGAAGATACATTGCTAAAAATGAAAGAACAAAACATTGTCTTAGGCTGACATAAGAAAACAGAAACTATTCGCCCTGAAAATGAATCTTGAAGACCTTGCCTTCATTCAGCTCATGTTAGATTGCATCTTACACCCAACGAGATCTTCACCTATAAGCTAGTTAGCTTTAAAGCTTAAAATGAATACCCAAGAATAGTACTTGTACTGTGGAGAAAGGGAAAAGAAACATAACTGGACTTGGATAAGCATTTGGTAAGAAACAAAATACTAGGGTAACTTTCAAACAGAACTTTCACATTAAGTGTTTGGGTTTTTCTATTTAACATGAGAGGGTAGAAAATATCATTAAATAGCGCAGTGACTTAAAGCGGGCCTTTAAGTCCCCACCTTCCCCCCTGCCATGTTGTAATTAGTATTTCTAAATTGAAAGCTCAAAGTGGACTACACCTCAGCCTCGCTGGTGAGCTGATGAATTTGTAAGGCTCTGAGAAACAGTCACTTAAATTAAAAGTAAGATTCTAAGCAGCAATATGAAACCCCTCACACCACTTTGCAGCGAGGCAATCGGGCAAAAGCATGCCCGACTACAGGAGACCCTGTACAACCACAGCCCTGGTGGTTTCCATTCAAAAGTCAAAGCTGATTTTCTAATGGAAGAGCCAAGCTTAAAGATGAGGGGGTGGAGACACAGGCATTGCTTTTAAGCATTGAATTACAGCACCTGGAAGAAGGAAAATAAGCTTTTTATCATGCCTTCAACATTATTTCTGAATGTAACTGCAGTGTTCTTGTACCATGCATACCCCAGACTAATAAAAAGCATTTTAAAGGCTTCCTTCTCCCTTGCCATACTATTCTTTCCTTTTATTACTGAAGTACCATACCAACCTCAGAAGGACAAGGCTTATATTAAAAAAAAAACAAAAACAAAAAAACCCAAAAAAACCTACACACAAAACCAAAAAACCATACACACTTTAAAAAAGGTCCACAAAAGACAGCATCTTTACCACCTGAATCTTTTTGCTAAATCCTATTCTTTTGGAATTTGATACAGACTGCCTAGAGGATGATTTTGCTATCGCAGCACCTCAAGCTCACCAGTGTAAGTCCGCTTAACCTGCAAAAGCTCATGTCTTAAGAGAAGAAAACACTATTATTTTTATCCATGTCATCCTTTGCTAAAAAAATTAAAAGGCCCAATAGAGAGGGAGGCATCCCATCAAAAAGAGGATTCAGAAGACCAAAAAAAGAAAATAAATCTAGTGTCCCACCAAATCAAAGTAAAACAAGTTCTATCATTTTTATTACCCCAAGACTGTTTCTATACTCTTTGTTTCCCCCAAACCCAGCAACTTTCAAGGACAGAAATGAAGAAGATATGTACAATGCTTATGCTTTCTTTTTCAAGCTTTAGGAAGAAAAAGTTTGCTTCAATACTCTTCATCGTTGACCTTGAAGACTTTAAAAAAAAAAAAACAAAAACAAAAAACCAGCAGCAATCAGAAGAATTCACATCAGCAGAGTCAACACCTCTGCAGTATTTTCAAAATATTTGTCCCATGCTCACTGTGGAGTACTCCCCTGGAGATACATTTGTGCCACTGACATAGCACTGACATAATGAGTTCTCCTTGACTCGTTTTCCTTGTCAAAGCCGCGGGGCAAGCCCTGGTACTAGAAGCTGAACTGTATTTTATGTCTGTTATGCAAATAAAAGGAGAGACATTTGTCTCACTGAGGTCCTACCAGTTTCATTACCATTTTACTGACAAGATAATCATTGCAAAAGTCTAAAACACTGGGGAATGCCTTTGAAAGACTTCAACATAACACTTTGTTTTATCTCTAGCATAGCATTTTACTGACTACATGTGTGACTCTGGAAAGATGAAGGACGTTTCTTGAGAATCTGACTGCTACAAGTGTCTACAAAGAAAACCATCACAGCCTTCTCACCACTCCTAGTAGACAAATTGTTATTCAGGTGTTACACGTTCCTTGCAAGACCCAATACCCCCATGTATTGTCTGTCCTGGTTTCAAGGTAGTTTGTTACCAACGTATTTCTACCTATATCTGCTAAACAGGCAGGTCTTGCCTTTATCTTCTCTCCAGCAGTACTGCAAGACGAGCCAACATGACCTCTATCTAGATAACTATCTGCTTAAGAACCACTCCTATGAAAAACCATCTAGCACCGTATTTACCTACTTCTTACAGATATTCAAATCCTTAGATTTGTTGAAAAACACGCCATATACACTTTTTATGCATTAGGAGCTTCACGCATTGTTAAACTGAAACAACGAAGACTGGAGGGAAGTGTTAATATTGCAAGTTAGAAGGTCTGAGTCATATGAAAACTGATTCAAAACGCATCAGTTCCTCTGAAGAGAAACCTCTGACAACTCTTGTCCCTGGGAGACCATGGGAGTTGCGCTGATTCAGTGAATGCAATTTCTCCATTAGATTTCAGACTGGAGATAACGACATCAGAAAAATATGCAAGTGAAGACACTGTTTTTTTTTTTTGTTTTTTTTTTTTTAAGATTTCAGAGCCACCCAAAAATAATATTTTCAGAGGTTAGTTGTAGGACAGTGACCCAGTCATCAAAATCAGAGTTAGTATTCAATGGACTGTGAAAAATTAATACCTTCCATTTCGTACACAAGGTGACAGCTTTTGGAAAAGATGTCTTCACTTCACTTCTGAATAAGCAATCATATCTAAATCACTGCAAGCTTTTCATGGTGTGTCAGATTTAAATAGAAAAGAAGCTTCCCCCCCCTTATTTAAGGCTGTCACTGACAGTACTTTGTTAAAACTGCTGATAAAGTGAATTTGGTGTATGTTTTACTTTTCTTTATCTTGCAATGTGTATTTCCATATTTTGAGTTTACTTTAATTCGGGCATATTAGGAAAAAATCACCATGCTGCTTTAAACAAATTAATAAAAAGTATTCAAGACTGCTTTAATAAGAAGCAAGAGCCAAACTTAATGACTTGATATTCAGAATCATTTTGATCATAAATTAAAAGCTCTTTTCTCTAACCATAAGCACAAAAAATGAAATTGAGCTTGCATTTTTAAACAGAACTTGCACTTCAGTCAATACACACCAAAATGTTACACATCAGCCCACAAGTCAGCCTCTGCTTTAAATGCTTCTATATTAAAATATTTCAGCAGTCTAATTTAAAGCAGATTCCTGTACAGACCGAAAAGAATTTACCAGACTGATCATTAATGACCACATACTTCTTATAATAGCCAGTTTTATTAGCTGCAGTTCATGAAAAAAGGCACACTTCCTAAAACCATCAAATGCATTTGACATTTGCAGTCCTAAGGAGTTGCCATTTTCCCTTTTTAAAAAACAGTGAAGGAAGGAAGCCCAGAGGAGGGAGATGTCCAGCAAAAGACTTGGCCTCAATCACATCCTGCTTGGGCAGCTCTAAATCCAAGGAGAGCCGAGCGTGCCAGCAGCTGCGAGCGGGGAGATGCAGCTGCCAAGAACTTCCGACCTCTGACCCAGTTCGAGCTAGAGCATCTCGCCCCAAGCACGCTGATGGCAGCACAGCTGCAGGGGACTCTGCCATCTCCCCAGCCAGGCAAGCCCTGCAGGTTGCTTTTCGACAAAAGTATTTATCATCTTCTACATATGCTAAGAAACTTGCAAATAAACTATTTACAGTAATATTCATTAGACAGTCTCTGAAGGCAGAGCTGGCTAGCGTCCTTGTCTGAAAAATGTCTGAAACAGCATCCCGAGGTAAGTTTCCAGATTTTCTTGGAAGTTATTCAAGATATTAGAATCACTACCTGACTTCTCTGCAGAGGCATATAGAGCAATGTCTAGTTGATAGATAGTGACTGGGAGCATTCATTTCAATGTAATTATCAATTTACTGCATCATCCTTAGCAAAACAAAGATAACAAAGGAGGCTTGCATCAGCCAGGATGGAAACAGGGCATGGGAGCTCTACCACCCTTTTGACTATAAATCTACAATGATGCATTCTTTTTTCTTGTTTTACTACTAGGAAAGTCCTTTAAGCTTCACAATATTGCCATAAAGCTTTGATATAAGTATTACCCTTACCAAAAAGACTTCCTCCTTCTATTAAGTTTTTCCTGTTGTGAGTTAATTTTTGCGGCAAGAGGGCTTCTTAAGATCTCATTTTTCGTCTGAAGGATGCTGACTCATGATTGAGTTTCCTTAACCAAGGGTTTATTTGCACCCTCCCAAGCTGGCCACTGGTATCAGTAAAGTCACAGAACTTTGTGTTCAACCATGCAGAATGCCATAGCTGTTCAGGAACAGCAAGATTTGTTGCTAATAATAAACTACCATAAACTCCCCCACAGGCAGCTTGCCTGCAGCTTAAGCCCATTCTACCTACGTAGTCTTACACCTGAAGCTTATTTTACAAAAGCTGGTAAACAGTGAGTAGCCATTGTTCTCACCACAGATGGCTAACAAAATTGGGGGGGAAGCAAGTTTTGTGCTTCAGATCACACTTGATCCCTTGACTTCAATTTAGAAAGTCAATTTAGAAAGTCAATGTGGAATTTTGTAGAGACACTCCAGAGCTTCAATCATATTTCTATCAACTTCTTAAAGGCCTCATAACTGCATTCTTGCCTATATTCTTTTCACTCATCTCCTGTAATTTAGTCTAAGGACTTCAGTCAGCCATTCAAGGATGAAGATAATATTTTCCACTGATCTTCAATAACCAAGTGTGCCTATATTCATTCTAGCCCATTGCCATCTTAGCAAATTTGAACATTTTTGGGAAAAGAAACCACTAGCTTTTCTTCAAAGGTGTATATGCACAAGGAGCTATACTGTAAGTTTTAAACACACATGCAAGACATTTGACATTCATTAAATATGGAGACATTAGGGTCATCTCTCAACTTAAGAATCAAATTTTCTCAGGTACTGTAGATCTAACTCTGTGCAGAGTATACCGTCAATCTAGATCCCCCTTTGATAACTGCATATCTTAGCTCATGATGCTTTATCTAAAGACCATGCATGCTTTAGCTAAATTAGAAGCTAAAAATATTACCTATTACTGACACATTACTCAAGATTATATAAATCCAATAGTGACCCTAATCTGGCAACCATTATAACACAAACCACATGACTAGTGGCTAGGACCAACTCAAGCATGTTTAAAGACAATACATTGTTTTAATATATTTGCTTCTCTGCCACTTCAGAGAAGTTAAAAAAATGAGAACACTACAGTTTAAAAGAAAAACCATCACTAAGGGACAACAGGATAAGAAAATAAGATTATTTCTGCAGATTATGAGTTGGTCTCCAGAACAAACATCTTCATTACTAGAAAACGGGAAGCAGATGACTGGTAGCACTGTGCACACTCTCCATTTCTCAGGAGGGAAGAGACATCTGGCTTTTTACCACAGGATTTTCATAGCACAAGGCCAACAGCATTCATCTGCAAGTAAACTAAGAAAAAACAGTTGCCCTCTCTCACCCAAAAAGAGAAAGCATTTAAATAAGGAAAATTGCATTTGAAAATGTTGAAAAAGCACCCAGTTTATTTCAGAGTAAATAACACTTGCTGCAATCTCATAATTTTCCTGCAGCACTTCATTGTGTGACAAGTCCCATTACATTGAAGTCCTTCAAAAAGAACCTCTTGCTTTTCACTTTAGTTGCTCCCAAAAGGCCCTCTTCGCCATGAAGCTCTTTCTAGAAGATGGCTGAACACTGCTTCATTCACAGCCATTTGCACCTGCCAAACACATCAGCTTATATGGAATTTGAGAAAGGAGACAAAGAGAAAGCAGCTCTCAAGAGATTCAAGTTACTGTTTTCACCAAGACAAGGGACATTTGCATTTCTTAGGTCAACAAAAAACTTTCAACTTCAGGATTGCATGTTAACATTAAGTTAATGATACATTACCAATCTTTAGAGACTATGCTGGTTTACTATTATTTTATCAAATTAAAGACAGATTCCACAGGAATGAGTATACGGAAGTGCAACTTGGTATCAGGGGAAAGAAATCAGAATGACCTTTCTGTAGTACTCCAGTAACTCCAAAACAAGTTCAACTTACAGTACGATTCTGAAACAAAAATACCTTGAGTGAAAGTCTAAATGAAACAAGATCACATGTTTCAGAATTCTAAGCAATTTGTCACAAGTTACCCAGATAGTAAGTCTTCTAGGCAAGGACGACTATGGAAAGATGAATTAGAATATCCAAGAATGCTTTAAGAGGATAAATTTTACTAGATTAATATCTAGTTTGAAGAAGAGCTGAATAGACAAGTGTGACTACACTTTTATTGCACAAAACAGGCAAAAGTAACTCAGAACTGAACGTCATAAAGGAAGCCTAGCGTATTTCACAATCACTTTACCATTAAACAAATTGTAGCATATCATGTTAAATAAGGCAAAATTTTACAGGAAGTATTAATAACAGTTCTGATGTTTTGACCTAAACAGCTTAAACACTTGTTGAACATGTATCACCTTTTTATAAGCACTGAGATGTACTTAAGAATGTACTAGATAAACTCCTTCTTAGCAGCTACTATTCTTTAGACAAAGCCCCAAAACAGTCTTCCCAGAGCACTCTATGGTTGTATAGTAACGATGTGCAGGTAACAGCAGAGAACTGCAATACCTATGCATTATTTTTATAGAAGTTTTGTACCTAGAGTTGTGTGATGTTTACTCACCTGCTGAATAATTTTGGAATCTTTTGGAAGGTTTTCCCTGGGTGGGACTTTTCCAAACAACTTCCAACCAGGAGCGCTTTGGACAGGAGGTTTGAGTTCCTTTGTCCTTTTAGTGAAAAAGTTTCTGAAAAGAGAGGAGGGTTTTCTTTTTGTTTATTACAAGCATATAAATAAATGATATTTGTACCTACTTACATTTCTTTAAACCAAGTTCACCACTGTAGAGATTTACTGCTCAGCAAATGCAGTGTGCTACTTTAGCTTTCTCTTATACTTCAAAATAATTAAGTGGAGCAGCTTTCATTACAGGTGCTTTGATGCTAATATTTGTAGTTAACACTCAGTTCTGCCTCTGAATTCTAAGCTACTTTATGCAATATCAGAGCTTTTAGTAATACTGGACACTTTCTTAAACATAAGTTAGCAGCATGCAACAGCTCTCAGACTTTTGTTTGGGGTTTGTTTTAGCATATCTTACGGAGCTATTTAGAGACTGAAAAGAAAACAGGTGGAAATCACCGTGTAACTTACAGATTTAAGAAAGAAATTGTGAACTATTGCTTCCACTAACATTTTCTGCAATCTTCACACCGTCAACTTTCATAACATGGACTAGGAAACCAGGGAACATGCACACAGCTTCAGTTTAGCAGATAACCTTTGCCAGTGCCTAAAGCAATTACACTCAAACAGGCAGATAACTGCATTGCTCTATTATTTCTTAGAAAGCCAACCATCACAAGATCATATTAGCAAGCATTTGTCTAGATACACGGCTGTACTATTTGACTCCAATCACAAGCTCCCAGAGAGCATGCTATGTACGAGTGCTTTGAAAGTGAAGGAAGTGCATTTATTCTGAATATTGGAACGTTACTTTCCAGAAACTTAGGAAAAACACAGAGGGATTACAAGTTAAGTAGTCTGTAAGGTTATTTCTCAGGATGCTTACAAGTTGACCTCTGAGCAAACAGAATATGGAGCACTTTTATTGGAAGATGTTTTTGTGCAGTGCTAACTAGCTAACCTTGTACTTTCACACTCTTCCTCTGGAAAGAGATCCCCAGATTTATTCTTGACTTACAGCATTTACTGTATTTTAAAATACATTTCCTTCTCAAATTGAATGCATTCACGTTTGAGCACAGAAAACAGTCTCTTGGCTTTGCCCAGATAGAAGTAGCACGTTTCAACAACCGCAATCTGTCCGAAAAGTGCAGTCACTCTTACAGTCCAGTGCTGTCAGGGTCTCTGACCATGCAGCATAGTTTTACCATTAGGAACTGTTAGTGTTTGTAAGACAATGTATAGCTTTCAAATACAAACTATCTTTTCAGTTCCCAGAATGTTTTTTTGTTATTTGGGAAACAAGTAAATGCCCGTCACAAAAATCCCTTCTGTGCAAGTCTGCATGAATGGACTCTACAGATACTTGTGTGTAGTTGAAGATCTAGCCACCAGAAAAGAGCAAGCTGGAGAGCAGAAATAGATGCTGATAAAGTGTGAAAGTCTCCCAAGAACTGGTAAGCTCAAGACTAGCGGTCCTGTGGAATCCAGGAGAACAGGAAAACTCAGAACACCAAGACTCTGCTCAGTCTGTCCGAAGCCACCAGCACACGCTACCATCAACAATAGCTTGTTAAAAAAAAAAAGAGAAAGGAAAAAAGACTGCATTCAAGAAAGCAGCAGCTGCTACAGGCAGGCAGAGTATGGGATCACATATACACCTGATGAAAGAGAAAGCGCCTTAAAAGAGTTTTTTCTGAACGCCCATGTAGAAGCCGTTGGTGCATCAGTACACCCCTCCACTTCGGTGGAGGTCTCCCAGCTGTTGTTCCAACCCAGCAAGTGAGTAAGCATGTTTGGGAATAATTGCTTGCACTGTATGAATAGTTAGCTGCCATTAATGGAATCAAGCTGTTGCTATTAATAATAGCTTAATTAATACAAGGTGTTCTAGTAACATTGGTTGTGATCCATGCATCCCGCAACTCTGTCCCCCTCAGGGAAACTTCCAAAATCTTAGTCCATCCCTGTGGAACCAAAGTAAGCACCCAGAACACCAAACTAGCGGTTTCTGACACGTGACCTGGAAGGAAAGGCTGATGAAAGAGCCAAACCATGGTACCAACACCTTTAAAAGACACTGCCCTCGGTCAACCCCAGGACTGCATACCATTAGTGAAATGAACAGGTCCATCCATAAAAGGAAAAAGACACAAGAAGTGTGCTTATATAAACAGCAAAGGCTCATTTCACAAGTACAGGACACCTTTCACAGTGCTTTATATTGTCTTTAAGAAGGAAGGAAGAGTGTTCAAAGAATCATCAAGAAAACAAGACAAAGTATTCTAAAGACCAACATGTCACTAAATACTACACCACAGCCTTGCCCTCAAATCTGCAACTACTGCAGCAGCTATATTTGAAACTTAATTGGAGAAGATTTTTTTTTTCCCAAAAGCAGGTATGCAGGAAGATACATTCTGAAGTACCGTTCTTGAAATATGAAATAGCTCATGCATCCTGACTTCATGGACAGCAATAACCATCCAGTCTCTGCACATACTATGGAATACCACCAGGATTACCTGGCAGTTCAGCTCCATTGCTTCTAGCACTTGTGGAAGCTGAAGAGATGTACGCCTTTAAAATTGATGGCAATCTGTCACTGTATCAAAGCTCTTTTATGATTAACCAGGAAGCTGGCAGATTTAAAAAGGAAAAACGTGTAAACACACAGAAGGTTTTAATTAATATTTATGTACAAAAGACTTTAGGCATGCTCATGGCTCTTACAAGATTTTTTAAATTTTTTTTTAAACAAATATAACATTAAAACAAACTGTCCAGAACATAGCACCCACCATAATGAATCTTGATGCTTTTTTTAAATATTCTTTTGGTGTACTGAATTAAGCAAAGGCTTGTTTTGCTTTTTATGAATGCACAAGTGAAAATATACAATTTTACTTTTATTGAGTAAATATTCATTGAAGTCTGTTTCTTGTGAAGGCAAAAAGCTGGTAAAACTTTATATCATGTCAGAATAACCCTCACATAGGAATTTTAATCCAAGAGAAATTAATGGGAGGTTTAGAAATAAACTTTGCTGAAGATAGAAGAACACTTTTAATACGTTGTTTTGGCAGCTAACAGTATCACATCTGATGTGTTGTTGACAACAGTAAAGCCTTACAAAAGCCCTGTTAAGGAACAGCATCTGTGAATGCTTACAAGTTGCATTCACTGAATTGCAGGAAGTGTACCAGATTTGATATATTTGTTGCTGCTTAGAATATTCATGAGTTTCACTGATCCCAGGAAAAGTCATCCATTAAGATGGACTGAAAAGTCAATAGCATTTTGGTACAGAATCTCAAAATCCGTTTGAAAACTTAAAAAAAAAAAGCCTTATAAAGAAGCCTACACTTTAGAACTGAATAATGCTTTCTGTTGAAAGGACCTGTGGGATACAAGTATTAAGTTAGTTCATTGAATTAAGCTCTGGTTTACAAAAGCCCAGTGGAAAAATTGCAAGGGTTTTTTTTTCCCTGCTAGTTTTATATAACCACACTGGAATGCATATTAACACTCTCAAATGACACTCAAAAACGTTTCAGTAGGTGCACTGAAGAGCTTGAAAAGTAACTGAAGTGCCACAGAATAAGAAGCCATTACCTGCACATACCAAGATATCTATTCCTAACATTGCTTGGATTAGACTATACAAAAACCTATGGGCTCTCATGATCACACAACAGCTGTAGTAACAGCTACAAGTGGCAGTTTTCTTCCTTATTTAACGACATTGCTTCAACTATTCCTGCCTGTGCCCACAGCACTCTCTGCAAGAGTTTCACCATGCTGATGGTACAGTAATTCAAAGATATTAACCATTGCCAGAGGTGGCATTAATTTGATGTTCTAGTAATGCAATTGCTTGTTTCCACTCTGCTTTTGCTTTTTAAAATCACTGTTTTTGTTGCTGTTTGTTTAAGATAAACTGGTGAACTCTAAATGCAGTTAGAGTTAAGTCTCAGAAGGGGATATGTGGAACTTGATATTTTAATGGGATTTTTTTTTTTGTTTGGTTTTGGCTTCCCCCCGCCTCCCACCATCAAATCTGAACACAAAAATTTTTTCCACTTTTTGAGCTAGCTATATGCCAGCCCAAGAGGATGACAGATTTCCAAGTTTTAGAGGAAGTTACTGGAAAATACCAGAGACAATTACTTCAAGCTTGATCTTAAATTTCATTTAACACCAGACGAGAATTTGGGCTACCATATTTGCACAGCAGCCACTCAAAGAAAGCTGAAGTGCTTTGAACAGCAGCAGCCACGAACATCAGCAGGTAGGAAAGTCACCAGGCTAGATACAACTCCGGCACTTTGCCTCTAGGTATGACTGATTCACCTTTCCACAAGACCAAGTAGTCTTGTGACAGTCGTCTGTTTGACCAAAAATGTCAAACTCAAATCCAGTTTCAAGCTAGATGTCAGTTTGCTACAGTTCCTTCAAAGATCACACATATAGCTCTTCCCTTTCTACAACTCCACTGCGTGCCACTAACAACAGGCTATGAGTATTTCGCTGTGTGCGAAGTAGTGCATCCCAACAAAACCTGAAGTTGCTTTCCTTCCCACCCCAAGTGCACATCCGTGGGTTTCCAGTCTTAATTTTGAGCCTCAAAGGAACCTGCCAGAAGAATCAGCTCTGATGATGCAGAGCTCTGATCTTGTTGAGATATAGTACTGCATTATTGGAAGCAATCAAACTTTATCTACTTCCCATTTTTCCCTAAAACTCCCATTTCACTCCAGCATTCTTAACGCTTGGAAACAGCATTCACAAGCCTATATCTGCCCTTATTCCTTATCTTTAAAGGAAGATCTAGATCCTGACTTATCTCTCCACTCCCACCATAAAACTGTAACCTGTAGCCTTTAAACCCATACATTCAACAACACTTGTGAAGTGCCAGCCCCAGCCTGGTATGCTACAGGAGTAAAGGAAGTCCTTGGGTAGCACAGCTATTCTAACCTGATAGAGAAGCAGGAGCATGAATTGTGCTGGAACCACAAAGGAAAAAGAAAATAGTAGTTTAGTGTCCTGGTCCTA